TTTAATTAATTAAGATAAAAATGTCCTAATGGAATTGGCAACCGGCGGAATCTAAAATACGGGAGGGGTGTGATAGGGTGACCGTCACATCAAAATATTGATGGTCGTTACCCCTTGCTTGTAATTATACATGCTTGCCACGTGTCCACACGAGCGTTCACCCCTTTGCACTGGGTTTGGCCCTCCCCCGTGTATTATATCATTCTTTTTTTTTTTCTAAGAAAAAAAAAAAAAAAAACTTTTTTCAGAAGTGACATTTTCTAATTCAAACATTTTTTGACATTAAAGTTATTAATATTTCCTTTCGAATCAAGTATTAAGATTTTTATTTTTTTACCCAGTATATTATCAAAAAAATATTACGTTATTTCAGTAAAATATTTTTAATTAATTTTTGAAAATATACTCATCTATATAATAAAAATATGACCTAATAAAAAAAAACTGTGAATAATGGCAATAGGTTGGCACTCTTTGAAAATGATTAGAAAGGAAAATATTTTAGGTAGCAGAAACAATTAAATCACTATTTCCACATATAATTAAAATGCTTTTCTTTTTTTTTTATATTAAAAATATGAAAATAATAATTTGTAGAAAATAAAAATGGGGCCCGCACCGACAAGCTCCACAGAATTGCCCGTCCACTTGTCCAAACATTGAAGATGGCAGAACCGGATCAGGCGGGAGCCGGTCCCAGCCCTCGAATCTCATTTTCATCGGCTCTCGCAATCATCACCCTTTTTCTTTGTACGATTTTTATTTAAATAATAAAGTTTTTTTATCATATGATCATAATCTACTGTAACTCGATATACATACATATATATATTTTTTCAATTTTATAAAAATACGAAACAATAAAAGTAATTATGTAGAATTAATTTTATTGCTGATTTTTGTTATTTTTTAAAGCGTATATAGATTATTATTATTTTAGGAGAATATTATTGTGTATCTTTAGATGTGACTTGAGGATTGGTAAGTGTCACATATGTAGAGATGGGTATTGGGTACGTGTGACCAGCTCTAATCCGTCCCAACATAACACGAATGGAATTGAGTAAAAAATTTATAATTAATCACCTACGTTGCGGGTGCAAATAGAAAACTATAAATCAGAGATAAGTATGGAGTACATATGAATTTAATGATTTATTTGTCCTTACCTTATTGTTATGTATGTAATTTTTAAAATTTTAATTTCATTCAAATTAATAAATATATGATGTTGTATGGCTGTAATATCAGTTTACATTTGTTATTTATTATTATTTTAAAAATTATTATTTCAAGTTATATTTTATTTGATGAATACTTAATATTTGTAATTAACATTATTTAAATATTTTATGAGATTTTATTTGTGGGGTTGAGTGGCGGATAAAAAACTTTTTTCCTACTTCAAGTACGAGGGACGTAAATATTCGAAATCTTTTAAAAAAATAATATATATATTAAAATAACAAAAATAAATAATAATTAGAGTTTATATTATTTATATAGTAAATTTAGATATTAAATAGGATTATAGAAATATATATAAAAATAGTTAAAATAACATAAATGTAAATGAAATTAAAATCTTATGGGGTTAACCTCCACTGACTGACAATTTTAATAGGGTATGGAAAGTGACTTTTATCAGTAACTATTTTGTTGTTCATAATCTGAATTTTGATCTTATTGATATAAAATAGTTAAACAGATAGATGAACTACATTAGTTTAGTAAGAATATCACACTAATAACTTATACGAAAAATCAAATGTTGATAAAAATTATAAAATAACTAATAGAGGCATTAATTTAAATAAATTTATTTAACATAAAAACTATTTATTTTATATTTACCGTTATGAGTTCCCAAAATCGATATATAAACACTAACTCAAATAATATTGTGATTGCATATCCAAGTGAGTAAAAAATGCATTTGGACCGTTCGTGCTTGCAGAATGCGATCTGGACCGTCGGATCGTCCAGGCACGCGAATCATCCGCATGGAGCTGATGTCAGCATGTCTGCCTCGTGATGTGTTCTGACTCATCGTGGTTGTTGACTGGGTTGTCCCACGTAGCCAAATTTTCTCTTTTTATGATTTTACCTCATGGTTTCAATATTTTTTTCCAAAAACACCTCGCTTATTCACACATTCACCTCTTTTCTTTAAAATTATTTCAATTTCATTTCTAATTTTTTTTTTTTTAAATTTAACAAATAAAAATTTAATTCTTTATATATATTTTATAAATTTATATAAAGAATTAAATATGAATTTATATATTTATTAATTGCAGAGATTGATGTACACATTCTATACCTATCATGTGCTCATCCTTATATATGTAAAGATGTATTTCTTATAGTTGTTCATCCTTATAACAAAATTATAAAAAATGGTGCATGACAATATTGGTCACATGAAAACTTTAGGGAGCTCTAAAGTTTACATACACGCATAGATACATGTAGTGAACAGTATAAATTGTCATATAAACTTTATGGGCTGTTACCCGTCTGCCCCTAGTTGAATAGCATGGCCCAAACGAATTGGGCCTGCATCCTAAACTTTCTGGGAACCCGAGAATTTATTTATAGTCTAATTCAAAATTTTGACAACTAATATTCAAACAAGGTTTTGATGATTGTTATAATTTATTAATTTAAAAAAAAAAAAGGTCGGTTGACAGTTAAATCGGGGATAAGGAGCGATGTTATCAGGTTAACGTAGAGTCAGAGAAGGAATAAACGGTGTCGTTCCGGTGCTGACATCTTATCTTGTTTAATTTCGGCCAGAAGAAGGAAAGTGAAGACAAGATATATGGAAACACTTGGTTCAGAAATTTTCTATTTTGGAATCATTCTAAATTTCAATTCCTTTCCTGTAAAAGCAAAAGAAAAAAGATACAGCTTCTTCTTCTTCTTCTTCTTCTGTTTTTTTGTCGTTCTATATGTTCAAAATCTTGATGCCATGCCATGCCCAAGCAATGCCTTCTCTGTGTTTGAATTCGTTGCCTCTACCGCCTTCTTCACACACTCGGAAATTAACAGAAACCTTTTCTCCATCATATTCTTCTTCTTATTTTGCTTCGGCTTCAACTTTATTGAGCAACAGCAGTAGCAGAGGAGAAGCCTTAAAGCCCATTGTTGTCAATGGAAGCCCTCCCACCTTCGTCTCTGCTCCCGGTCGCCGGATTATTGCAGGTAATAATATCACTTCATCGTACAAAAAAAAATGAAGAAACGAGCTTAATATTTTTCACTTAATTAGTTTTCCACATAAAATTTATTTTATTGTCCATGAGAAAGAAAAGAACAATGGCTTTTGGTTTTGTTGAAGTTAATGTATGGGTATTAGGATATGGGTTATGGGTTTGTTTAATACAGTTATAATAGATAGCTGCTTTGGTGCATGGATAGAGTTAGGTCAAGCAATAGAGTTGAAACCATTTTCAGAAGTTTAAGTTAGTAGGAATCAGCTAAATTTGTTATTTGTGCAAATTCCTTAGACTTTCAACTGTTAAAGCTAGATTTTTTATGACAGTTTGGTCACTGGATTACATAAAGTTCTGGAGATAACTTATCAGGAATTGAATCAGTGCATGATTTTTTCTAATTCAGATGAAATTTTCTGTACGGTCACTTTTTATCATTTTAAAGATGAGTTTTATAATCTTTCTGATTGAACTAAGTATAAATTTGCAAATGAATTTCATAAACATTTTGGATTTATTCCAAATCTAGCATTAAGTGCAAATCCAACAGGGTTTGCTGGTTTGGTACGAGTAGATGGTGTATCTTTGTTTTATATAAGTCAACAAGAGATATTGTTACTATTTTCTTAATCTGCAAGCTTGTGTAATTTGTATCAATTTATAGTTGGGGATCTGCATGGAGATCTTGATCAAGCTAGATTTGCACTTCAGATGGCTGGTGTTTTGAGTTCTGATGGTGAAGACTTATGGACTGGTGGAGAAACAGTATGATTTCTTTCTTTGCAAAACTCAGAAAAGCTCTTGTTTATTTCTAATGGGAATTCTCATATAATTACACAATCTAGATGGAGTTATTGCAAAATGTTGTATGTTTCTACATGGATATTCCAATTCTTAATTAGATTTTCATTTGAGAAATATGTAGGTCTTGGTTCAACTAGGGGATATCCTTGATAGAGGTGAAGATGAAATAGCGATTTTATCCCTGTTGCGGTTGCTGGATGTACAAGCAAAAGATGTTGGTGGAGCAGTTTTTCAGGTTCGTGCTGCTTTGAGTTCAAAAGTTACTGGCCCAAGCTGAGTATTTCCATCTGCTTAATTCTGTCAGCTGCTGGGTCAAAGTAATTTTAGCTAAATCTTCTGTTGAACAGGTGAATGGGAATCATGAGACAATGAATGTAGAAGGGGATTTCAGATATGTTGAAGCTGGGGCATTTGATGAATGTGGTGCTTTTCTGGAATACTTGAGTGACTCTGGAAATGACTGGGAAGAAGCCTTTCTTGGTTGGATTAGTGCATCTGAGAAATGGAAAGAAGATAGGAAAATTTTCAGAAGTAATTGGGGGCCATGGAACCTAGTGAAGGTACCAAGATTTCTCAGCCACCCCATCAATTTAATGCTATTTCTTTTTCAGTTTATGTACTATAAATCTTTAAAAATTCATCTGATAAACCTATCAAAATACTAGCACAGAGGCAAAAGGGAGTGATTGCAAGGACGGCTCTGTTTAGACCAGGCGGTCCATTGGCATGCGAATTGGCAAGACACTCGGTTGTTCTTCGGGTTAATGATTGGGTTTTCTGCCATGGCGGCCTGCTTCCTAACCACGGTATACTCCTCACTCACACTGCATATCTTGCTTATAAAATAGAATGAAAAGAAAAAGTTTTTTCTTATGTTGTTTCAAATTCCTGATAGGAGTAGTGTTGGTACTTCCACAGTTGCATATGGCATAGAGAGGATGAACAAGGAAGTTTCTAGCTGGATGAGAGGTTTCAATGGAGGTGATAGCAATCCTAACATCCCTTTCATAGCCACCAGAGGCTATGACAGTGTTGTTTGGAATCGTTTATACTCTCGGGACAATTCAGATCTTGATGATTATCAGATTAATCAGGCAAGAATTGTTTATATACTGATCAGAAACTTGCTCTCTCTGCTTTAAATTGCCAACTTGAAACCAAATGAGTTTCGAGCGTGAAATCTTCTGCTAGTAATACGGAGACAAGTGATTTTGTTTTATTAATTTTCTTTAGGAATTTGAACAATTCATCTAATATGTTATGATGTGTTTAACTGGTTTACTTATTGAAAATTCTCATCAGATAAATGCTATTCTTCAAGACACATTGCAAGCAGTAGGAGCTAAAGCGATGGTGGTGGGACATACTCCTCAAATGGAAGGAGTAAACTGGTACATGAAGTTCTTATAATATTCTTTGATTTCATAAGATTAAATACCGGAATACTATTCAGAATCAAGACTATTGGTTCTTTATAAGATTTATGTATGTTAAGATTAGAGTTTGTCTGGGAGAGAAAAACACGTGATTTTCAAAGTGATTTGAGATTTAGTCATCCCCAGACTAGATCATTTTGATCCAACTATGTAAATTTTGATCTTTAGGGGTTGATAATTACATGCATTTACTACCAACAATCACTGAATTCAGTGTATTGTGTTGCAGTAAATACAATTGTAGCATATGGCGTGTCGATGTGGGAATGTCAAGTGGAGTTCTTAACTCGAGGCCAGAGGTACTACTCTAACTTGAATCCCGCTTTCTTAATTTACAAACGAGTATCATTAGAGTATAAACAATAAGATAAGACATTTTCTACTTCGGTTTCTCTTCTGTTTATTAGGTTTTGGAAATAAGTGATGATAAAGCGAGAGTTATTAGGAGCAAAAGAGAGAAATTTAGTGAACTTCTGGTCGTGGATTATTTATAGAATCAAGCAAGGGAGCTTGAACAGGTATGCATAAAAAATATCCTATTGCTCATTTTCTTTCATAATGCTGACTATAGTTGATAATATTATATCGGAAAGAACATTTTTTTGGGTCTTTTTTGAAGTACTTTCTGTCATACAAAAAAGGAAATACAGTTCAATGTTCGAACTCACACCCGTGAAATTTCTAACAATTCAATCAAAAGATGGTTTATACAAATTTTAAGTACTTGATACTATATGAAAGATCTGATTTTAAGACAGATAATGGGACTTTTTACTCTATTTCCCTTTACTGCAGGTATAAATTCTGACAGTACTTATAAAAGATTTTTGTGCTGGAAATCCATGTGATGAAGATGAGGTTTTCTGTATATCAGTCTCAAGAATTAGCAATAACGAGGACATTATTCTTATCAACAAATTCTTCATCTGGGATTTTTGCTGCTGTAAATTGTTCTGCTCGAACTCTTTCAGCTTCAGGTTTTAAATCATAGTTCTCTGTGTTTAGTACGATCGCACTTTGATTTGGGTTAGTGGAAAGTCAGTTCGTCCCGAGATGTACTAACGCTTCTAAGATAGTCTTTTACCGATTATGATCCTAATGCTAAATGGAAGTAGTAATTAGAATCTGAAAAGAATACCAATTAGAGAAATTAATTCTTGATGGCGAAACAGTAAACCAATTTAAGCCAAAATCAGAATTTCATTGATAATGGGTTATGGGTTGTGGGTAAATAATTTCTAGGGTTTATCAAAATCTCATTGATGGTATATATTGAAAAACATCTGATTTGACGTAAGTAATACTTAAACTAATTAAAAAATGTTATATGTTAATAAATTTAACAGCGTAATATTTAAATTAATAGTGTAAGTGTGTATATACCAGCAGTGTATAGAGAAAAAGAGAAATCTGGATATGACTGTTCGCATGCAGGGAGGTAGAGGTGGCTGCTTGCATGCAGGGAGGTGGAGGTGGCTGCTTGCATGTAGGGAGGTAGAGGTGGCTCACATCTTTAAATTAAAATTTCAACGTAATTAATTAGTTAGATGATTCTTTATTTGATGCATTGAAAAAACAGAATTCACAATTAGCAAAAGGTTAGGTAAGTGAACCAACCAGCATTAATTATAATTAGGATTATTTTAAACTGTTAAAATTTTAAATTTTGAGGATTATCAGATTATTTTAACATTCTTCGTGATAAATTTATTAATAATATTAATACCAATCACGTAATATATATATATATATACTAATTATAATATAAGATAAGTAAATTTTTGTTTATTAAGTTGATTTTTCAATATTACACTTGGTGAGCATGCAATATGTGAGAAGAAGAGGAGACATTTGGCAAATCAAAATATGATGAACACCACCTGGAAAACATGCATCAAAACGAAAAGCCATTTTTCAAAAATGAAAAATAATATAAAACGATGTCGTTTCTCCTTTTACACTCCACACAGTTGTTGAGCTGCTACACCACCACAGCACTGCTATGCAGTTGCTTTATTCTTTTACACCATTATCATTGCCTTCCCGTACATACATATATATATATATATGTAGGAATTTATTTTAATACATACTACAGTGATAACTTATATTACTGCACCTCACATGACAATTTCTCCATCATCCCTGATCACCCTATCAGCTCTGACGAACACAAAAGTTTTTGCAGAGTCGCTCAACACCAGACGCCTTATTCCAGCAGGGTCTGAATGAACACCGACATCACCACAAGGAATCAAAAAGGTTCTAGGCTTCGAAGGACAAAACCTAAACAGATAGGAAGACGACGGTCCACCTGCTCTCTGGATCTTAAACAAGCTATCAGCAGTTCCAGGTCCATGGTAACCTTCAACTCCTCCGAGCCTCACTACCCATTCTGCTAAACCCTCAAACCGACCAACTCTCCACACAGTCGCCTCCTCGCATTGGATCTGGATATTAAACTTCACATTTAAATCAGTAGATTCACGAACAACGTTGTCACCCACAACGTCGACCGCTAAGAATTTGACTGGTATGCCTCTCATCAAGTCAATTCGTTCTTGTTTCACGCTGAGCGGACAGGAAATTCCGGCTAAGCTCAACCCACCACCACCGGCGCCTCTGATGGCTGACACCACGAAGTAATCAACGCCGTAGCGAAGTGGCTCGCCGTCGACGTCGACAACTGGTCGGAGTTCAGAGCCGAGCATTGGCTTCGTTGTAAATAGAAAGAGAAGGAAGGAGACGGCTAGCAGTGTAGTCGGACTCTTCATTTTGTCTTTTCTTGTTCTTTCTCTTTCCGGGGTGCTCTTTTGTTTTCCTTTTTTTCCTTGGTTTCCTGTTTTGGGTTTCGTAAGAAGTGAAGCAGTGGTGCTGCTATTTATAGAAAGGGTAGCTAAACAATGTGGAATTTGTGGGTTAATATTTTTTTAACTAGAAATTTGTATCTAATTTATATTAATATAATTATTTAATAAAAATACGGAATATGCATAATTTAATTATGTTTACTTTAACTTGAGTTTATAAGTTTATTAAGTAAATATGTGAATAAAAGATTTTCTTAAAGCTCTTATTCCATTGGTTAATTATTCTAGGTGTATAATTAATATTTAATTAGATATTAAAGTTAAAAAAATTAGATAATAATAAACAAAATAATTATTGTAATAATCTAGAAACTAAACACTCTGGTAATTTGACAAGGGAGAAAAAGACCATTTAACTGGCAGTTGGCAGGTGACTTCTTTGGGATCTTCATGCCAAATTCTCAACTTCTACCATCTCTCTTCGTTTTCTCCGCTAACCTTTCCCAAATCCTCACGCACTCTTCCGCATAAATACACTACTCTCTTCGACGCTGCCCTCTTATCCTACGCACACCTGCTTCCATCACCATGGCCTCCTCCTCCTCTCTCATTCTCCCTTCCATTTCTCTCCACAAGCTCAGCTTCCACAGAAATGGATTCCAGAACTTTGCCGTCAAGAGTCTCGGACGATCTAGGGTTTTCATGAGTGTTTCGGTTGGATCTCAAGCTACGGTAGGCGACGCCCTGTTTGCTGATTACAAGCCTAGCTCTGCCTTCCTCTTCCCCGGTCAGGTGACTGTCAATTGTCATGTTCTAGCTTATCGCTTGGGTAAATATGGTGTTTAATGTATCTATAGCTGTTTATTTGTATGTGGGTTTTAGAGTATTGAAGTTATTGAAAGAGCGCATCGATTATATGATTGTGAGAAATGTGGATTTTTGCGCCGTTGATGTTCTGGTTTAGGCGTAGATTTTTTACTTAGAGAGGTTAATTTGATGCGAACTGTTTCTATTTGTTTCAATTTGTGACTTGTTTATTAATTACCTCTCTAATTCTGAGTAATGCCGGTTGCATTGGTGGTTGAAAACGGAATTTCTGAATCTATTCATTTGCAAATGTGACAAATGCGAGTATGTTAATAATGTGAATGGAATTGGTTGTACTTGTTGTCCATAGCCAAAGAAATATTTTTTATCCTGTAATGAGGAACTTCCGATTGAGTTCTAAACTCCATTCCTATTGTCTTTATGAAAGTCTTTTCTCTGTTAAGCTTTGAATATCTCAATGCCAAACAACTTAAGAAAAATATGCGTTTAGTTTAAGAAAAACGAGTGTTTACAATAGTTGTGGAATTAGTCAACAATGTGTCCTATATCCCTTATTTTCTGTCATCAGTTGTATTTCCCATTATCCCCATTATCTACCGCCATACCATTTTGTTTTAGTTGCCTTAGAAGTAGGAAGTAGCAGGTAGAAGTTTTTGAATTTAAAGGCTGCAAGTTTAGTGAATGGGGGGTCGAAAAATTGTTGTTTGAGTGTGGTTTATTCTCACTCAAAGGGAAAATCTTCACCAAAAAATTAATTGCCTTTTGACTGGGACCTATCAATTGGTATTAGAGCTATGGTTACAGACGAAGAAAAAATAAAAAATCTAAAAATCAATCTGGAAGGGGTACAGGACCATTTGAGCAGAATGGAGGCCGGTTTTGCTAACAAACTCCACCAGCTTGTAGGCACCCTCCGATGGCTCACCGACACTTTGGTGTTGAACAGAGAACGATCCAGCAACAACGCTCCAGGCCAACCGGGCCAGACGCAATCAAACCACGACGACGGTCTAGAGAAAAGTGACGGGAGCCAATCACCCTTTTACTCCAAAGCTAAAACCTTTGATTTTTGCGGGAGAGATGTGGAGATCTGTTGCAGCACGGGCGGGGTTGGTCACATGGAATTTCAGTGCAGGTCAAAGTTCTAAGCTGTCAAGCAAACAAGAAATATTCATGTCGAAGGCGGTTCCTCACCACCAGCATCACAAGATGCTGAAGCAGTATGGACGCAGAGAACAAGGATAAAGAAGCAGTTGACAAAATGCTTGCCAAGTCCATTGCTACAAGCAAGCGTAAAGATTCCGAATCTTTTGATGATTTTATGGAGTCATCGGACTTTGTAAAGGCAGTACCAGAATTCGGATATCCTTATCAACTGCCAGATCGTGAAACTCTGGAATCTTACATGATTCCACAAGTGGAGAAAGAAGTGGAGGAATATTTCCAAGATGTGAAGCAATATTTAAACAAAACTGGTTGCACCATAACACCTTATATAAAGAAGTTCAGATCATGGTACCATAAATTTAGAGGCATATGGTTGTATACACCCAAAGGGATATTTCTACGGCCTGATGTTTACCCTCAAACTCAAAGGAGCCAAGCTTTACCTTGGGATCCAGGCAAGTACTGGGTACGGGATATCAAAGAACAGAGTGATGCCATTGGTTCTAGAAATGTTGTTCAGTTCTTGGCTCATGAGAAGGTTCCTCAATCTGTGCTGAATCTTTTCAGTGAACAGTATCCATGGGTAAATATCATCAGCAAATGTGCTGCTGGGGTTGTTGGGAAATTTTTAGTGAACATATTCCAAGTTGGTTTGTGCGGGATATAGTGTAATCTGCCATGAGTTGGATGGAAAAAAAAGTATTGGGTTGGAGAATGGTGATGATGGAGAGCAGCAGAAAAAAAATGTATTGGGTTGGAGAATGGTGATGATGGAGAGCAGCAGAAAAAAAAATGTATTGGGTTGGAGGATGGTGATGATGGAGAGCAGCAAAAAAAAAAAAACATCTGGGAGGGAAGGGAGGCAGAACGTGTTGGAAGTTTGAGAGCTGTGTCGCACAGAGAGTTGAGATAGAGAGTTGTGCTGCAGAAAAAAAAAAAAAACTACAAGAGGCTGCAAGGAACCAGAAATAGTACTCTTGAGGAGTTGGGGGGGTGGATGGCCTTTGACAATCATTCTCAAGTGGTGACATGTGCCATTTTTTTTTTTATGATGTCTGGATGTGGAGGAACTTTTACCTGTTGTAGCATGG